GTGGTGCAAAGAAACGTTGTAAAACCTTTGCTTCAAATTTAACTTCACTAAGTTCAATTTTTATAGTTTTGTTAATTGAATGTTCCTTTAGTTTTATAAGACTTGGAGCACTCATCTAAAGGAAAAAAAGTAGTCGGGTGTGCTTTCATATATCTTGTTCACGCAAAAAAGGTATTACAGACATCAATTGAGGTAGAGCTATGTATCATAATAAAACCTTTTGAATCTTAAAAATTTTTCAAGAGAAATATAAAAAATTTTCTCAGTGACAAGAAGCTAATTTTGAAAAATAAGTAATGAGAATGTAGAAATAATAGTTTTGGAAACCTAATTTTGACCTCAAATTGAAAAACGAGTAAACAGAGAGTAAAACAATGAAAAAACAGTTCTGGAAACCTCAGTTAGTCTGATTCTAATCATACAGTTTAATTTCAGTTCATGAATGTGATTTAAGTTGGCCGAAGCGAAAATCAAAGTTTTCTTCAAAGCTTTAAACATCTTTTGACAAGCAATTGCTATTGATTGTGTGTGAAATTTTTCGTCTGGTGTACCAAAGATCGAAACGTTTCCCAAATTCTGGATGATTTCTTTCATAAATGATTTGTGCTTTTCTTGCCAATACTTTGTTGTTACGACTTTTATAAGTGGCTTTTAGAAATTATTGTTTTCGTGAGCTCAAATTTGAAACATTTTTACCTGTGATCAATTTTCGTGAAAACAATGATGGTTTGAAGATTGCCAGCTTGGCTTTTTTATGATTCGATTTTAACGGATAAAATGAAATTTAATCCGTCTTAGAAACTGATCCAATTTGAATTGAGGCTTGATATTTTGTCTATACATTAATTTGTTATATGCAAAATGTATCATTTTGAACTTAATAGCATGTGGGAGAATATTTTTCACAAACATTTTGGAATTTCAATCCATAAGAGCTCGCTCAAACCACTGTCGGAGCATTCAAAGTATCGCCCTGATACGAGCAAACTTGCTGTTCAGACTTGCTGAATGTTTATGATTTGGTTGGTTTTTTTATTGAGTCAATTTTTGACTTGATAACTAAGCATTTTCGACGGAAGTTTTATTATATCATCTGAGAAATACTGTTGAGCTCAAACAATTACTTGTAGTTGTTCTTGGTTGGGTTACGGTGGTTTGAAAAACTGCTAATTTGGTCGAGTTGTGATATTTAACGCGTGACATCATGCGTTCTTATAACACACGTAAGTGGCGAGTTATTGCGTTCCAAATTGCAATGAGGCGAGCAATTTAGCCCTCTCAAAACAATAAGAGACGCCTAACACGACCGTTGTATCTTACAAAGCAGTTGAGGGACAAAAAGAAGAAAAAAATGTATATATATATATTTTGTCATTTATTCAACCAAAAAACCTTTTAATTGACCATACAGTGGAGTCGGAACATTCAGAGCCATGCCCTGTTAGGTATACAAACAGTCTTGGTAATTTCATAATAAGCGGTTGACGATTTTTAATGAGGTACGAATTACACATTCTCAAAAAATTCTGGTTTCCAAAAATTTCATCAACCACTGTTGAAGCAGAAGTTTTGCAACTTCCAGTAGTTACTTCGTAATTATTTTTGTCTTGTTTTTTATTCCAGCAACAAAAATTCATTCTCAACCTAAGTCGGCAAAAAATGAAGCATAGAAGTTTTGTAATAATAAAAAGTTTCGCAAAACTAGAATAAAGTATGACAAGCTTTTTCTCCGATTTATTCGGATAGCCTTTATTTCCCTTTGTTGCTACTCACCGATAACAAAGTTCAAATTGGGTGTCGAAGGATTCACCCGCATTTTTGTAGTTGAAGATACTTTCACTCAGTCCAACTGGTAGGCAAAACACAAACACTTAGTATAATTTCTTCAGCATACTATTTACTAACGAGAATTGAGATTGACCAATTGTCTGGCATGGAAATCCATTGAGTTATCAGTTCTCTCCCTAGTGTATTACTTCATAAATTATCTAAATTATAGTGACATATCACTGATTCAATTATGACATAGCTATCTTTGCGAATACAAACCGGGGTATCAGCTGCGAACTCTCAAGATAGGTTACAAATCTTTATCTTTTCTTATCATTAAAATTTGAGACAGAGCTCAAACTCGCAGTTCCACCGAGTTTTTAAGAGGATTGAGACATAAGGGGATAAACGCAAAAAACTGCCACCTCACCTCCATTTTGAATACTGCAAAAAAACTGATTCATTTCTTTGTAAAAACTCGTTTCTACCCTAATTTCCTAATCCTATCAACTAGAGAAAATATTCAAAGCAGTGGGATGGGACTGTAATCTAGGGCAAAGTTTATCCAATCAAGGCAACATATTTGAACTTTTGGTTGTCGCCCGGGCAGAGATAATTCAAAAAAACTGTTTAATATTCGTCGAGCGGAATTTTTCTGAAAATTTTGCGTTTTGAACTCAAATTTGGTAAAAAACGGAATTTCTTTTTCAACAATGAACAATTTTTCACTTACAAACATAAAAAATATTTAATAGGAAGTTTTGGAGGCATACTGTGACTTTATCATCAGTGTTAGCTGTGGTTTTATTATTTCATTTTGAAAATTAAACGTTTTTTTTCTGTGTAGATCGACCAAATAAAAAGTTTTTTGATTAAACTGATACAAATAACACAAATTTAGCTAATACTTATACAAATACAAATACAAAAGCAAATTCCAGTCGTTACTTCGTAACTTTTTTGTGTTTTTTTCCTGTTACAGCAATACAAATTCATTCTCTAACTAAGTGTGCAAAAAGTGAAGCATAAAAATTTTGTAACAATAAAAATTGTCGCAAAACTAGAAAAAATGTAACAACCATTTTCTCCGCTTTATTTCACCGAGTTCTTAAGAGGATTGAGACATAAGAGGATGGGCACAAAAAACTGCCACCTCGCCTCCATTTTGAATACTGCAGAAAAACTGATTCATTTCTTTGTAAAAACTCGTTTCTACCCTTATTTCCTAATCCTATCAACTAGAGAAAATATTCAAAGCAGTGGGATGGGACTGTAATCTAGGGCAAAGTTTATCCAATCAAGGCAACGTATTTGAAATTTTGGTTGTTGCCCGGGCAGAGATAATTCAAAAAAGCTGTTTAATATTCGTCGAGCGGAATTTTCCTAAAACTTTTGCGTTTTGAACTCAAATTTACTAAAAAACGGAATTTCTTTTTCAACAATGAACAATTTTTCACTTACAAACATAAAAAAATATTTAACAGGAAGTTTTGGAGGCATACTGTGACTTTATCATCATTGTTAGCTGTGGTTTTATTATTTCATTTTGAAAATTAAACGTTTTTTTTCTGTGTAGATCGACCAAATAAAAAGTTTTTTGATTAAACTGATAGAAATAACACAAATTTAGCTAATAATTATAAAAATACAAATACAAAAGCAAATTCCAGTCGTTACTTCAAAGTTTTTTGTGTTGTTTTCCTGTTACAGCAATACAAACTCATTCTCTACCTAAGTGTGCAAAAAGTGAAGCATAGAAATTTTGTAAGGAAAATTGTCGCAAAACTAGAAAAAAGTGTAACAACCGTTTTCTCCGCTTCATTCTGATAACCTTCATTTCCATTTTTTACTACTCGCCAGCGGAAAAGCTTGCGATAAAAAAGTTTCAATTGGGTGTCGAGTGGGTTACTCGCATTTTTATAATCGAAGGTATTTCCATTCCGTCCAACTGGCACGCAAAATTTAAACGCTTAGAATATTTTCATCAGAATACTATTTTGTAACGAGAACTGAGATCCACCAACTGTCTGGCATGGAAATCCATCGGACTATCAGCTCTCTCCCTGGTCTATTAATTTAAAATTTTATCTAAACTATTGTGGGATATCACTGAATCAAATCAATTAAGATTTTTTGTCTTTGCGAAAACTAACAGGGGTGTTAGTTGCCAACTCTTAAGATAGTTTACAAATCTTTATCTTTTCATCTCTTCAAAATTTGAGACAGAGTTCGAGCTTGCAGTTCCACCAAGCTCTACCATATTTTGAGACTTAAGGGAATAAACATAAAAAAACCGCTACCTCGCCTCGAACTTTGTACTGCAAAAATTTTAATTCATTGTTTTTGTAAAAACCTGTTTCTACCGTAATTTCTGTGTCCTATCAATTAAAGCGGTGGGATTGAACTATATTCTAGGGCAAAGTTTATCCAACCAAGACAACATGTTTTAAACTTTTCGTTGTCGCCCGGGAAAAGATACTTCAAAAAAGCTATTTAATTTTCGTCAAGCGGAGTTTTTGTATTTTTGCATTTCAGACCCAAATTTTGTAAGAAAAATGGATTTCTTTTTCAACGATGAAGGATTTTTGACTTCCAAACATAAAAAATAAGCAAAATTATAACAAAAGGCAAAGGCCAACTTATATGACCTTGGTTTGAACTTGAAAGAAGAAAAAGTATACATACAAATTATATATTAACCTGCATGGCTGAAGCGGAATTGAAAAGTAATGAAATAAACGAAGAAATCTTGAAATGTATCCTGTTTATAGCCCCAAGTTTAAATTTGTTTGCTTCTGACTTTCTTTCAATCCACTGAACTAAGCTTAAAACTCCCGAGGGAATGAAAGTAAATAAACGGCAAGCACAAGTCCATAGTTTAGGGTACTCGCTCATGGCGCAATGAACAAAAGGCAGAACATTATATCAGCCAATCAGAAGCAGTGATAAATATGTCACAAATCAGTGAAATTTTTGGATTTTAGACTCAAGATTAGTGAAAAATGGATTTCTTTTTCAACGATGAACGATTTTTCACTTACAATTCATTGTCATCAGACTTTATCATCTCATTTCGAAAAAAAAAACACTTTCTTTGCGTAGATTGACCAACTTTTTTTGATATAACTCATACAAATAACACGATAGAAAATTTTTGTAGTTTTAACTTTTGGAAGTTACGGAAGCGTATGTTAAGTATTTATAAAAAACTCAAGAGGGTACCTACTTACCCGGGTCGAGATTGAGTCTTTATTACCAGTCGGTCGTGATCAAATTTTGATTTTTCCAGATATTGCAGGCCAAAGCAGTGTATCCGCGACCGATGCGACCGGAAATTAACCGCGACCACCAGTGCGATCAAAGGAAATCAAGTGCGACCAGCAGCGCGACTGAAGGAAATTGACCGCGAACAGGGCGACCAAAAAAATTACCGCGACCAGTGTTTGCAATTTATGTTTCCTGACTCGAGCCATCTATGACCCAATTCATCCATATTTCAATTATGTTTGACTAGGAAAAACAATCCGTGGTCCGAAGAGTTCAGAGCAGTTTTTCATCAGAAAGAAATTTAGACCGAGAAGAAACGTCTCAATTGAGTTCGATTGGGAAAATCTTTCAACTGCTTTCGATTGAGGGTATTTTTAGAACGAATAGATTTCAACTGACGAATACCTTACAGAACTACCAAAGAGGTTTTAGGTTCAAGCTAAGTACTAAATGTTTGTCGTTTATTGGTTTGATCAAACTATTTTTTGTCTGCTTATGACTTTGTCGCAGCTAGTTTTGCGACCATTGCGCGACTTATTTTTTGACCCCGTTGCAACTAATTTTTTCGCCCATGAGGTGTAACATTCGCCCAAATATCACACAGCGACGGAGCGTAGAAAAAGTACCTATTAACGACTGGCAGGCGTCAGTTACCTTAATTCTACTCGTTTTTCACCGTCTCGACCTTGCCAGTTGATTTTCTGGTCTGTCTAGGGCAAAGCAAAAAGTTACCATTTTTAGGCCATCAGTCAAACGACTTTTGATCAGCTTTCGTTTACATGCGAACACAACCACATAGCTGAGTCTCGGATCCTCAGACTACGTGATTGTCATTAAAAACACGGCTCAAACAACCTATTTTATTATGTTTTTGTGTGACAGTTCTATATTAAATCCATTGGAGATGGATTGACCCTTTCCCTTTCCTAGCTACTCATGCTCTGAAATATTAAATAATAACGGTGTTAATTAAGATCTATGACATTATAGCAGCTATACAGTCAGTCTATACAGTCCCTTCACATAGACAGTCTCTGGGGGACCAAGCCTCCGCTCCCGTAATATTCTTGAGATAACACTCTTATCTCTTATTCTTCGTGTCCCGGGAGGGTTCCGTGGTATATTTCTTCCCCCACTGAAGCCTCCTTCTCCACAAATTTCCGTCGCTAAGGTTCTTATCGTGTGTTATTGCCACGATAAGAGGCTTCGTATTTTTCGTCTCAGATACGACTGTTCTTCACAATTTCTGTCGTTGTTCTGTCTTTCGTCTTTTTTATTCAAAATGGCCGTCTTTTTTCTATTTCTCAGAAATGTTCATTCTTCAATCGAAATTTTAAAAATAAAAATTCTAGAACATTCTGACCCTCCTTCGCAACACTTTTTTGTTCATAAGGCCTTTAGTCGTTCTTTTTTACGTCGCCGGAAGGTTGTGCTGTGTCTGTGTCATCTGGCAGAATGGCACATACTCCCCGGACAAGTCTCCATCAATGTCCCTATTGATCGCATAACACCGGGTTATCGTCAAGTAGTTATCCAGTTTTCTGTAATCAATCTTACAAATTGCATAAGAAAATGAAATTTATCTACTCCACCTCAACTCACTACGTGTTCACAAATGGCATCGTACTACATCTCACTGCCTTTCAACATTTTCACAAAATTTGCACCATGAGGAGTGTCCCAGATAAAATTTCTTTTCTGACTACTTACGTCGTCTTGCCATAAAACTTCTTTTTGCTCTTTTGTGATTAAAAAGTGGGACGTGGCACGGCCACGCACCCGTTAAAATTAACTTAACATTACTCACCAAGTATAATCAGTCATTTATGCGGTCCTTTCAATATTAAAACTAAGAAACTCTGTGGCTAGGAAAGTTCTTGAGTTACCCACCCTTCCAGAGCGAGTTTACTCAAACTTACCATGTCGCCACACAGTGAAGTTATGTCTTACACAGGTTAAAAACTTCAGTCGTGAATAAATAGGTAAATATACTCACCTAGGTTCCTCATATACATACATAAATAGCCATAACTAAAATCAACAATTTCAACAATTTTAACAATTGCAACATTATAGTTTGGTCTGACCAAACTAGATCAAAACAAAAAGTTTCACAAGTTCAATAATCAAAACTTGGTTGATTTGTTCAAGTTTTTACACACAAAGACAATCAAGTTTTCTCTCCTTCTCTTCTCTTCTTTGGTCATCTTCATTCCATCACTTCTCCATCTTGATCTTCGCTGTCTTCCAACACTTTCTCCAGCATGTCCATGGAGTTGCTGGCCGTGCCCCAACTCTCCTGTTCCAACAGCCTCGGTTTGCAGCAAGGTAGCAAGTCCACATTCACCTTCTGCTCCCGGTTCCTGCAAAAGCTGTTGTGAAGACATAGGCTCACGTTTCGTTCTAGGTCAGCTCTTAAGACCTCTTTCTTCTCCTCTTCAGTAACACAAGGCGTTCCAGCTACCCGCTTCACCGCTGTGGTGACCGCGTTTCTGTGCGTCAGGAATGCTCGTTTATAGGCTCCTGGTCCTATATCTAGCTGGAAAGATTGATAGGCTTCCGTGTTCCTTGACATGTGACGCTTCGCGCGTTCATACATCCATGATGTCATCACTGCACGGAACCAAGGCATCAATCTTTGCCTTGACCATATTCTTTCAATGACTTTAGGTATCCTCAGAACCTTGCAGGTGGTTCTGAAAAGATCCAATTCACGACTCATCTTCACGTTGCTCAGCTGCTCAGGAGTCGGCACGGCCGTCTCCTGCTGACTTGTGTCTGCGTTAGCCTCCAGCCATCTCACTGCTAGCATGGCGCTAACCACCACGATTGACACTTGTTGATTCTGATCGGGCAACCCCGTGGAGTAAAACTCCTCCACGTCCCATACTAGCATCAGATTCCCGCGTTTGGGGTACCACAACGTCTGCGCCAAGCAGTGGCAAGGATACTCCCCATGGGTCCTCACTATGTTCCTTCGGGTCCGATACCCTGAGGCTCCCAGCAACGGTTCCACTTCCATCAGGATTCTATGTAAATCGTCTTTCTCTTCTATGGTGGGGAATTCAGTGGGTAACGCTCCACTCGCTTTCTGTTTCTGGAACTCACTCACGTTACCTTCGTTCAGTCTCATGAACTCTTCACCCACAACGTCTTGCAACTCGCCTTCAGATCTTTTCGGGACTGCCCGAAAGATCTTTGCCAACAAGTCATATGACCTTTCTGACATTCTGGCCAACCTCACGCACTTTGGCCAAGAGAAAAGTTGGTCAACCAACACTTGTTGCGTCCTAGCATCCATCACTACCATGTGCGTAGGATACTTGCTATTACAATATGGCGCGGAGCTTGAACCCACCATATATTTTGAACCAGTAGGTCTGTGATAGGCTTCACTATCCTTCAGATTCATTTCGTTTTCTAGAGCTTCTCGCCAGCCTCCAATCTTCTGCTCTGTCTGTAATGCTCCAGGGAATATTTCCACGCTGAGGGACGTCACTAGCTCATGGGCACGCTCCAGGCGCTCGAGTGATTCTATCGAACTCGTCATGCTACAAAATCCCAAAGCTGTGATCAGGTTCACGTCCGTAACCCCATGGCAGTCTGCAACCAACTCTATGGCACTCTTATCTGACATGCTCAATCTTCCGTACAATCGTGCCAGTTGTCGATGCTGCTCGCTCAGCGTAATCAGGCAGTGTCCCAAGTTGCAAACATGCCCTTCCATCCTACTTTGTTGAGCCAAGCATGTGCCTTGCTTCAACCAATCGCTCGATGGACTTTCCTCAGGCAGCTCCGTGGATGGATTGATCTTCCGCTTCGTCGACTTCATGGCCAGCAGATGGTGTATCATGGCCAGATCATGTAAACTCGCATCATCATCTAGGTTTAACGTAATATCCGCCGTCATGTCCCAGATTAAACCGGCATTAGGATGAGGGCACCAAGAAGGCTTCATGAGTTCCCACATCGTCACTAGACTGGTTTTCAGGGGACCGTCCCAAGAACCACAATCAAAACTCACTTGCCCCTTTAGCTCGGGAACCGAGGGTTCGACCACTCGTTCTTCCAAAATAATTCCCAGCTTGGGTTGTTCCACCATCAGCATCCCAGTTTCTTTAATACGTTCGACCCAGAAATTGAGTACCATGACTTGCTCATAGTCGAAGTACGCTTCCCTGGCTTCTCATTCACGAAGGGATTATACGCCATCCCCGGTATGCCAGACACATATTGGAACGACTTCAGTTTCCCTAGTGTTGCAAACTCTTTCTGTCCTCTGACTGCTTCAATCAACTCTCGGCTCACCTTCAATTCTTTGTTTGAATATCTTCTCACCTCTTCCAACTTGCGATAGCTTTCCATATCACTCGACTCCTTGCTTGGCACAGTCAATGGCATGTCCTGATATAGTTCCAGGAGTGCCCTAAGGAAGTTCCTTTCACAATCCACTCCCTTTTGCCGAATGATCTTTATGCATTCTCCCAAAACAGGAGTGGGGATACGATCCACCACGAACCTGACAAAGCAAAGGGCATCCTTACGCTTAGCCCATGCTATCGCAGAATCGTCTTTCGAAATCAACGCTCGCAGAGCTTCCATCAACTCCAGTTCATGTTCCCATGATTTCGAATCATTACTGGCTTCATACTCCGCTTTCCTGATGCCCATCAAGCACCAAGCCAACCGTACTTGCAGATCAGTTCTCACGCAAGGATGAGCCAGGTATGCCGCCACCGTAGCAGGTGCATGCATCACCTCGTCGAAGTATCTCTGGAGGGCCGCCCTCCAGGAGATTTCTAGTAATTTCTCCAATCCGACTTCATTCGCTTCAGAGGACATTACCGTTCCGTATTCTTTTCGATTCAAGTTCGAATTCTCCGTGAGCTCTTTCAGATATTCCTGCATGACTCGCTTCTCGCTCCAAGCCACCAGGTGCCCTCTCGCGGAGTTCCTCGCTTTCAACATCTCCACATAACCCCCTGCCGGATCTCCCATGTGGACCGATTCCGGCACAGTTATTCGACTGTACTCGACCACGTCGAGTTG